CCCATATACATTTTAGTTGATTACGCAATTTTGAGAGAATCTTTGATGAGGAATCATGTGAAGGTAACAGTTTTTCTTGCTCCCCTGAGGTTTTTGAGAGACTCTTTTCATTGAATTTTAGGAGTGTCAAATCTTTGTGAAGCTCATTTCTGTACATAGCTATTCCATGAAAGAGCTGTGTGGAGGGATCTTGAAAAAATGTAAAATTGAAGTTCATGGGAATAATTGTGCACTTTTTGCGCTTTTCTTGTGACTAAGTTCAGTCAATTGGGTGTGGATCTCTTTTCGGTGGTTTTTTTGTGAATTTCTCATTTTTGAAGAATGGGCCTTTTTTGGTCTAAAGTCTTGTATGCTTTTGCGTTTTCTATGAGAATGGAGTGATTTTTAAGGTACTAAATATTTCCACCATGTTTCTTATAGCACATGGAAAATTATTTGAAAGATTTTGGAGTGCAGTCTTGAGACAATTGCTTTTAAACTATTCATACTGTATTCAAACATCCAGTCGCAAAACAAGCAAGCCAAATGTTCTCGAAACTCGTGTTCTTGTGCTGGTTTTGATTTTAATTTGTAAGAAAATCGAAGGGGATAATGATGAGATATACAGATGCAAAAAGGTAAATTTTAGATTTGTACTGCAAAGTGTGCTGATATATTCTTGAGCCTGTTGCTTTTTGTTTTGCTTATAAGGAAGTGCACAGATGTGATGGATCATCAGAATAAGTGATGAATGCAGTAAATGACCATTCATTGAAATATCCTTTGAATGGTATTTCTGCTCCAAAACGTCTAGTAAAAATCGTTTAAAATCTTTTGTCAACTATACAGCTACTGTACTTCATCATCATCTGATATTTAATATTGTTTAGCATAGTGTTCCGCATACTTTTTTGGCCCATGGGCTGGCAAACTAAAAAAGGCTGCAGATCTGCAAAGTTTCGCACACCTTTTTATGATCCAAAAGAGTTTTCTTTGGAAGGCTTCATGGCAGGTATTGAAATATTTTCTGCTTTTGGAAAAAAAAGCATGATCCAATGGAGCAGCTATGGTGTAATTTCTTCAAATAATTAGATAGATGGGCTTGAAGACTTTCTAATTATGTCAAGACTTGGAGTGATAAATTAAAATACAGGTGGACTCTCTTTACAATGATCTTGTCTGCAAAGATTTCTCAGTTTAACAAATTTGTATGTGGTTCCATACGGTTCTCTCCCCATGTTATACTGGTTCTTACAACTAATTTCTCTCTAGTCTCTACCATGCATTCTTTCCTGGTTCCATGCATTTTGTTGTATAGAGGGAGAGTCCACCTGTAACTTACTTCAGCAGGTGAAAATCCAGCTGAAGTGCTATCAGGAGAAAAGCCAACTTTTATTCTTTTTCAGATAATTTCAACAGTCATTTCATTTCCAAAATTTCAGATGAAGATACTGTAATACAATTCATTACTAATTTTGAAGATTTTGTTCTGTTGAAAAAAATTTCCAATGTACAGGCAAAAAATTCTGCAGACTGATGCCAGTCTGTGGACCATGGATTGAGCAGCACTGCTTCAACAGATGTGCAGTACTTTGTGTGGTGTTTAGAATTATTTTAAAATTAAAAATAAAATATGTGATTAAAGGCTGGTTTGCAGTCCTCAGAAGTCTTTTAAGGAATATCATGTACAGTATTCAAGTTTGGAGGTTGGAGATTTTTTGTCAATGATTCCATCAAAAATGTGCACACCAGAAAGCACACAGTGTTTTGTACAGGTGGCACCTTGCACTTCAACATCCTGAAATTCCATTATCCTGCATTTTTATTGTTGAATGTGCTGGGACACAGTGCAGCCTGTAGAGAGATGCAATATCTCAAATTTGATTTAGAAAACATTGCATTTGACATGGTCTTGCAATTTGACTGCTTCACAATTTGACCCTATATCCTGGCAATGGATTAATGTCAAATTTCTGGGTATACCACCTGTATACTGTACTAGGAAACTATAAGCAATACATAAATGAATTCACTTGGGTTGTTCTGATTTTGGCAAAAAAAAACAATGATGCAAATCCTATGCCTGTGTATGTGTTGAAATTATGTATATGTTCTTGGCTATCAAATTCAATTATCTCACATTATTCAAAAGACAGTTTTTGTGTTTTTAAAATGTTATTTTACTTACAGTAATTTTATAGAGTTTCAAATTAAATTTTAGTTCCCTCAATTGTATGTTGGTTCCTGACTCCTTAGCTGAGCTAATATAAGGTACACACTTCCAAAAAGTCTACTTTTAATGATTGAATTCAGCATGCAAAAAGGAAGAACAGTGTCAAAACATATTTAGCTCCACAAAAAAATTTAAGTAGCCCCTATATACTGCATTTGGTTTTGTTCCATATTCCCAAATAAACTGTATTACTCAAGCCAAACTTCAAAAGTTCTATGAATGGTGGTGATTTTCATATTGATTTTTTGTGAATGACAACATGTTTCAGCCAAAATTTTCCTCAGCAGAAGAAAGATGTGTCTTATTCAAAAGCCCATAGTTCTTGAATAAATATAGTACAGGTGGTCCCCAGCAATATCACCCTAAACTACTGCAGACTAGGGTCAAATTTCACGGCAGTCAAATTGAAAGACAACATCAAATGGCACATTTTCTACATGGCATCTGATGTTTTGTGTCTCTCTGCAGGGTGAATTGAAAAGCAGAGGTTGCATTGCAAGTTGTCATCCCAGCAAATTCAACCACCAAATTGCTGGATGGTTGAATTTCAGGAGGTTTGATTGTAAGGGTAGCAACTCCACTGGAATTATTATCTATTCATTCCTTTGCTGCTAATGGCCATTGCTAAAAATAATTTTGACATTAGATTCCACATGCTGAGAGTAAAAATGTTTCTCCCAATTGTTCTGGCAAAAATTGCATATGTGCTTCTGGAAGGTTTTTGTCTCTGAAAATTTTCCAGTAAACCTTTGCTCAAAAATTAATGACCAAACTCAAGCTCAGAATCAGTAAGTTTCAGCAAACTGTTCTTCAAAACTTTGAATATATATTAAGACCCAAGCAATAGGCAGAGAAGTAGAAATAAGTTGGGACTTTTCCTTAGATAACGTATATTTAATTATTGAAAAACTTAATGACGTGTCACTTATTGAATAACGTAGGTGCAACTATTTTCAAGTTCTCCAGACTCAAAAACCTAGACTTTGATATACACAGTAATTTACAGAAAATCAACCGTATTCCGAAATATTTGTCTGAATGTTTATTCCTTATAATTAGGAACTTTTCCAGGGGAATCTCAGTGAGACTTTTCTACAATCGCATCCAGACATTAAATAGCCGATTTTATGTACACAACATTCGCAAGAATTGGTGCGATTTAAGGACTTTTTTTTAACTTTTTGCAGACTTGTTCGCACTTTCTTCCAAATTCATTTTCCAGCAAAAAAAAAGGAGAAATGAAATCCGGTGCAAAGACTAAGGGACACGACAGTTCTTATTAAAATAGGCAGAAGACGGAGCAGTTACAAAGTATACGACGGTTATATTTTCAGCCACTCACAACCTGCTTATAAACCTTATTAATTTTCTACGTCCTGAAGATATTATGTTGTTAGAGTCAGTATAAAAGTTAGCACTTGATTGTGATTTTTTTTTCCTTTCAAAAATTGAATCACAGGAGGGATTTTCACCCAGCAAGACAAAGTGCTCGAAAATGCGTTCAACGAGGCGATTGAACAGTTCAACAGAAGAACGGACAATCGATTGATACGAAGTGTCGAACGGCTGCCAATTGACTTTGACTCGTCTCTGCGCGTTTAACGTTCATTCACGAGTAAGTAGACACGTGTTATTACCGACAAGTACTCATTTCCACCACCACCACTAGGTGTATAGTTAGGATTATACAACGACTACCCGATCCCAGTTTAATTGTGAAGTGGTCAAATTCGGGAAACAATGTCAAATTTGATGTTTTATGCATCAAATTTGACATTTTGGGTCGCTCTGCATGTTGAATTGTGGGGCAGAGGTTGCATATTACAAGTTGACATCCCGGCAAATTTGGCAATCAAATTTCGTGGGACAGTAATATATTGGGGGTTGTCAAATTGCAAGGTACCACCTGCACTGACATTTACGGTGGTTTTGGTTAACAAACTACAGTGAGACCCTGAGATGCAGACATGAATGGTGCATCAAGAGTGTCCCTAAGTTGAGTCTCATTATCTCTTAGACTTACATTATATAAGTTTCAATAGGTGTTTTATGGACAAAATACTCACCACAATACCGGGAAAATATAAATTGTCTTCCTAGCAGAGACGCGCAAATTGCAAGTAAGTGCTCATTCATCTGTGCACAATAATGGCTGTTCATGAGTAAAGGTGGTGGTGGTGATCCACATATCAATCCTAATATGTTGCTGATGGGCTAGGGTCAAACATTGTGAAGTGGTCAAATTTGGGAAACAATGTCAAATTTGATGTTTTATGCATCAAATTTGACATTTTGGATATCTCTGTGCATGTTGAATTGTGGGGCAGAGGTTGCATATTACAAGTTGACATCCCGGCAAATTTGGCAATCAAATTTCGTGGGACAGTAATATATTGGGGGTTGTCAAATTGCAAGGTCCCACCTGCACTGACGTTTACGGTGGTTTCGGTTAACAAACTACAGTGAGACCCTGAGATGCAGACATATTACCACGTAGTTCTCACAGGGATTCAACTCAGAGTAATAGAGAATCTGAATGTAATATATTCAAAGTTATCCACAAAATACCTGTTTTATGAGTGGTGTTATGGCCCTTTTATATTTAACAGAAGGAATTTAAACTGATTCAATCAATATATTTCAACACGATATGTTTGGGGAATTGAAGACTGATACCTCTGTACAGTACATATAAATGTTAGCATTCTCTGTAAAAAAAATAACATTTGAGTGAAAAAGAGAGAAGGAAGTCCCTCTATGCTGAAGGTATTTTTTTTAAATTAGCTAAATGGTTGGTAAATTGATGAGAGAGATGCCCAAGAACCTTTCTTACATCAATTTTAGGGTTGGAAATATCTGTTTCCTGTAATTTGGCCTGAAATGTATTTGCAATTCTATCACAAAATGTACCTATGTTGAGTCAGTGTCATCATGTTGGGCCTTTTTCAATAATTATGTTTTTTGGAAAATAAGTGTCCCTAGGTCAAATTGTCCACAGGTTGAGGTGTCCACATGTGGGGGGTCTCACTGTATATAACATGATTGTTTACTTTGGAGAGAGTACCTCGTGCCTTCTTTGCAATTATTTGCAGCCTGCAAATTGCTACAATCGGGCGTGGCTGCTATTTTCGGACCGACTGAGCCTCAGGTGGCCAACCACGTTCAGTCAATTTGCGACGCCATGGACATTCCCCACGTGCAATTAACCTGGGACAATTGGCAAGCATTCGATCACGTTCGACAGTCCATCAACTTGCATCCACACCCGGAAGTTCTCGGTCAGGTAAATCATAAATGTTCCTTCAATGAATGTTTGCAAAATAAGAAAATATGTACAGTATTTTACTAAACGTATGACACCTGCTGGTCATAAAGCCCCATTTTCAGAACAACCCATCAAACTGCAACACTAGAATTTCAATATTATAAGTAGAATGACGGACGACTTAATCCCATGAACCACAAGAATGCGGAATACTTTTAGAAACGTCGTAAAATGTCCTTATAACGAATCTCGCGTTAAATGGAATTTACACTTATATGAAGGATTTTTTGGTCCCTCTAAAAAAAACAACCATAAGGTTCTTGTAGGTTATGATAGATGGCAGATTTTTGAAATAGCCATTAAAAGGGTTTTGAGCAAGTTCAAATACTGCATAACTGAAAATTCTAAAAAAAAATGAATTTACTCCAGAACGTTTGCGGCGCAGTTTCAATGCATATAAAGTCAGTTAAAAATGTAGTCAAAAACAAGTTTTTGACCTGATTTCACGCTTCTAAAGTGTGGATTGCAGATTTTATACATTTGGGATCATTTCAGCAAGTTTCTTGGCTTTTTCGAAGTCCCAAATGTTTCATTATTGTAACAAAATACTGGTACCGATTTTCCCAATAGCTTTATATATACAGTACTGTAGTCGTTTCACACTCATTATGATGAGCCGAGAGCAGACGAGTATAAACGGTTATTGATCCAAATTTATTATCGAAATTCTTGAAAATTTGAAAAGTTTACTGAACCTTCATTTTCCTTCAGGCTTTCGAGACTTTGATCGAATCTTGGAATTGGGAAACATTTGCGCTGCTTTACGAAGATTTCCACGGGTTCATCGGCCTTCAAACCCTTTTGCGCCCAAATTCCCCAGACAACATCCGAAGAAGTTTCATCATCCGAAAATTGCCCGAAGACGGAAACTACAGGTGAATAATTGTATCTTCTCACAAAATTCCAATAATAGCAGGTTTTATGCACGTATACGCACACCAACATGAAAGATGCATTTTTTTTCGGAACATTTTCTATACAAACCTACGGCGAGTTAATAAACTACAAGGATTTTTTGGGATATATGATTAAAAGTTACAAACTGCTCCTTCATGTTCAATATAATAGCAATAATAATGTTTTTAAAATTTCTTTACAACGAATTTCACTTTATTAAAAATTGGGTTTCAGACTCTGAACAATTTTTTGTGATAATATTTTACTGTATTTCAAGGTACTGGAAAAGTGCAGATTATTATGGGTATATTTTGCAAACATGTCTGCTGAGAGATTGAAAATTGAGAAAAGTATCTGCTGCAATGTTTTAAATTGTGTGAACTAAGCAAATACAGCACTGTACAGGTTGACTCCCTGTTCAACAAAATGCAAAGGACCAGGAACAAAATAGAAATTTTTTGTAGAGAACCAGCATAACATATAGGGAGAAAACCCTTTGGGGCCAAATACAAATTTTTTTACAGAGAAATTTCTTGTAGACCAGATTGTTGTAGAGAGAGAGTTCACCTTTGTAAATAATGTCTGCAGTATAAATGTTTGGTTAATGCATCATTACCAGACCACCTTCTTTTCTTATGCCCAGCATTCCACAGCAACTACTGACGTGAGCTTAAAAAATATTTGGGACTCTTACCATTTGATGGAAAGACTACTTCCAAAACCTTAGAGTACAAACAGAAACTAACAGTTTTATAGGATTTCACCTCAAAAATTCTCCCCAAATTGTTTACTCAACTAACACTCATCTGGGAGCAGGCCAAACACCTTGCACTTTGATGTGTGTTCAGTAATTGCCATTTGCTGTAATTATATTACTGATATTTCCTTTTGTAATATCTGGGGGGAGGGGGTGTGCATATATAGATCAGTTGTGCATTTTTTCATTCTGTGATTTATTGTCTTTTCTGTATACCGTATTTATTTGAGTACCACGCGCACCTTTTTTCTCAAATTTCAGAAGAAAAAAAGGGGTGCGCATCATCAGCGGGTACAAATTTTTCACAAAGTTATGTATGCATTATACTTGATTATAATGGAGAATGTTCAAACAAATGAAACAAGAAAACTGTTTGTGCTGAAAAAGTTGAAAATTGATCCATTTTTTGTTCAATTCATGTCTGGAGTCAAATTTTCTTGAATTTATTTCCAAAATTTTGTCATTTTAGACTCACTAAAAATTGGGGTGTGCGTCTTACTATGGTATAAGATTTCAGCCAAATTTCCAATTGAAAAACCCTTGTGCGCGCCTTACTCAAGGGTGTGTGGTACTTGAAGAGTAAATAAAGTAATTCCTGTGGTTAGCTTATTTCTCTATGTTACATCTTGATTTGATGGAATGTGTTTGGATGGATGTGGGTGGGTATAGGGGGAGGGGGTTTGGAGGTAGGAACAATATTTGAACCTGGTGAATGCTGAAAAGTGGAAATCAAGCTTGTTCTTCATCAATCAATCAATCAAGGAAGCATTTCAACATTTATATTTTTTATTCCCCCTTTTTGTTCTCTCTTTCATCCTCAGACATTTGTTGCGTGAGATTAAGGCTACGGGATACACGAAAATAATCCTCGACTGCAACTCGTCCAAGTTGTACGACATCTTGGAGCAGGCTCAGCAAATAGGAATGATGACGGAAGCGCACAGCTACTTGACCACGACTCTGGTGAGTTTCGATAGGTGACGCTGCTACGCAAACGTGCATTTTATTTTTCGCTGGATGCTGGATATTCATCATTTGCAGGACATGCACACTGTGGACCTGGAAAGGTTCCAGTACGGAGGCACGAATATCACGGGCTTTCGTTTGGTCAATCTGGACAACTCCACTGTGTTGAAAGTGCTGGAAGGCTGGCAGAGAAAACTCAATTCCGAGGGGTTTGGTGTGAATGTGTGTCCCAAGGATGTTTCCGATCCTCGGGTCCTGTTTGACATGAAGGTAACCTCTAAAGTATTTACAGTTATACTTTTTCATGTTTCCATAAACAAGAGTATAAATGCAACCCAGTGAAATCTAGTCACAAACCACTCCCATAGGAGGGATCTGAAAAAAGTGTCTTAGTATAACAGAATTCAGGTTTCCTTATTGAGCCTGTATAGGAAAGACATTTATTGGAAAACAGGTGATGAATGATTTAACATTAGAAAGAATAATCAACAGGCCTTTAAATTTTCTAATAATAATAATTCTTAATACTGTACTTTGTTATTGATTTTTTGACTATACAGGAAATAGGTAGCTTTTGTTGACTCAAAATGGTTTTGCTTGGCTTCAAGGACCAACTTGAATTGAGAGTGAGTGAAATAGCTTATTCATATTTCTGATCATGAAATGAGATAGGGCAATCATGATTTTCAAGATACACATTTGAATAAAAAAACAAATCCAGGAACATGTTACTTCTGTTACTTTATTGATGGACTCGCTTCATGAGAAGTATTAAGAACTGTGTCATTAAGTCCATTCAAATGTGAAACAATCAGGAATATTGGATTTGAAACACATTTTCAACAACAATAACAATGAGGTGAATGAGTTAAACCCTCCCTGATGATGTTACAGAATTGCAATATACACAGTACCTCACAGCATCCATATGTAGAAAGAAAGGGGGAAAATAGTAATTGAAATTTTATGGTCAAGTATAATTTTCCTAGTCATTGTTTTTGACCATTATCATGCATGCTTCATTCTAAAATTTTGTTTTCAGACTGAAGCTGCTCTGATGTATGATGCAGTACAAGTGTTTGCAAATGCCCTGACAAAATTGGGCAGCAGCCAAGTCATCAATACCAAGAGCATCAATTGTGATGGAGACAACTTCTGGGAGCATGGACATTCACTCATCAACTACATGAAATTGGTGACAACTGTTTTCAAAACATGAGCATAGCATTATAATTCTTCAATAAATAAAGACAGTTGAAACTCGTGCATCAAATTTACTTTTCATTTTGGTTTTCAGGAAGACATGGAGGGACTCACTGGGAAAATAGTTTTCGACAGCCAGGGTTTGAGGACCTTTTTCAGCCTGGACCTGATGAAGCTGACAGAGAGAGGACTGGTGAAGGCTGGAGTGTGGACTCCCAACCAAATATCCTACATTCCAATTGATCACACCATTGCCAAATTTGAGTCTAGTTCACTGTTCAACAGGACCTTGATTGTGACCACAGTGTTGGTGAGACCAACAATTTCATTCCTTTGAGTTGAAATAATTGAGTGCTGCCTGCATATATGTAGCAAAACTTATCCATATTGCCAAATTTTTTGTTCTGTCTTGAAGAATTGTTCTGATGCCAGTTGAATTTCCTTCAACTCATGGGCTATATACTGGCTTGGGTCCGATTTTGGACTTGACTTATTTTTGCTTCCCAAGAAAACTATATACAAACTGAGCAAAAATTATTCAAAAGTTTCATATGCTCCACAATATATGAAGTTACCTGCTGTACAAGTATAGTATACCTCCTTTGACCATTTTCTTCCATTTTTCATTCCTATTTCTGGACTTGCTGCATGCCATAATTAACAATGCATTTTCTCTCCCCACAAAAAATAAAAACTTCTGGTGCCAAGATGCCTTTGGTTCAACTTTTTCTGGCCAGTATCACAGGCCTTTTGCTCCATTCTGACCTTGATCAGAATAATACTTGATCAAGGATTAAAGGAATAAATTGATTAAAAAAAACCTTTATCATCACAATTTTTTCAACAGTCCACTGCTGTCTACTGTTGTTCAAAGAAGTTCTGTTCAAGAGAGGTTTTTCTGACTGGTTTTGTCTTTTGTGAAAATAGCCTGAATTCTTGTCTGAATTAACATTTCTGTGATGGGGAAAATTCCAAATTTTCTTCTGACTTTCAATTCAGAAATTCTACCAAGAACCCAAGGCCTAGCTTGTTCCAAGCTGAATCTGCCTTTTATTTTCCCTATATTTCCTTTAAATGCACATCAATTTTATTTTCCTTTTGTTGCAATGACTTTGGTCAACAGCAATTGCACAACAAGCAAAAATGTTTTTTTGAAGCCAAACTCTGAGATTTTCTTATACAAAATCAAAACATGATTTTTTGGAATGCAAAAGAAAAGTACCTTCTCCTCTAAAATAACATTTATTCTTGTGAAAGAGTACTATGTATAAGAATGATAATGTTATAATTTGACTGTGGTATTTGTAGTCTTTCACACATTTGGTATTATTTTTCAGAGTGACCCATACGCCATGTTCAAGAAGTCTTCAGAGGAACTCACTGGAAATGACAGGTTTGAAGGGTTCTGCATAGACCTCATTGACCACATTGCCAAGAAATTGCACTTCAACTACACTTTCAAGTTGGTGGATGACGGGAAATATGGAAATTATGAGAAGGACCCAAACCATCCAAATGGTGGCTACTGGAATGGGATGATTGCAGAAGTCATCAATGGGGTATGATTAATAAAAATTAGAGCATTGCTGCCCTCAAATACTTGAATTGAATTAAATTGAACAGCAAGCCTTATTTTCCACTTTTCAGCATTTACAAAGTTCAAGTAATGTTCCCACATTCAAACCCCCTCCCCTTCCCACCCACATTCATCAAGATATATACATTCCTTCACATCAGAATTGAAAATAGGGAAATAAGCTGCAAATGGAAATTAAAAGAAAAGGAAACACATCCCAAAATGTACATTTACACAACTTATGTGAATACTGTATATAAACTTTCTTCTCCTCCCTGATAAAAAAAAACAATGTAACAATAATAAAAGTTTCAGCTTGAGGCAATTGCTGAACCCAATTAGAGCAGAATAAGGTTTTCAGAAAATACTTTATTTTGATTGAGTTTTCCTGTCTCAGGTAGCTGATATGGCCATTGCTGATCTCACCATCAGTTATGAAAGGGAAAGTGTTGTGGACTTCACTACACCTTGGATGAACCTGGGTAAGTTAGTCATTCAACATTCATTGTCACAGTTTCAATAGTTATATATAGGCAGTAGATCCATATATTCTGAATATCAGTTTCTGCTCTTTAAAATCCATTCCCCTGAAGTTGTTGAACCAAACTTTCTTTATTACAAAAGTCACCCTGGCAGTTTTCTGTTCTTGATGAGGTTCCCATTTTGCAGATTTTTTAATCAGCATTTTTGAAATTGACATGACATGAATTCCAATGGCTGCCTTTAGCAGGTCTTTCCTAGGCATTTCTGCCATTTTAATCAAAAGCAACCTTCATATAGGTGCCACATTCTCATGCCATGTTGATTTCAAGCATTCTCAAATGGAATTGGGGTACATAAAATAATCTGAAGGATTCTGGAAGTATACTTTTTTTGAGTTGGGTGAAAAAAGCTGCTATACAGGATGAATTGTATTTCAAAAAAATCCAAGAGAGATGCATTCATTTCAACAGGGCTGGATTTTTTGCCTGGCCAAAGAATATTTCTCCACTTAGTATGAACAAGAAACCAGTTAATATACGGCAAAGGTAAAAATAGGACTCTAAAAAACAATCCTGGGTGTGGTATATTTATATAAAATAGTATTAGCTACGTTAAGACGGTTGCGAGGCCAAATATTTTTTATTTTTTAATTTATTGATATGAGAACCTCTGTTGTTATTGATTTATTTTTCCTGTCACGTTTGAAGCTTTTGTTTCAATATTTTATTTCTTGCAGGGATCAGTATTTTGTACAGGAAGCCCACGAAACAACCCCCGAATCTCTTCAGCTTCTTGTCTCCACTCTCACCCGACGTGTGGATTTACATGGCCTCAGCCTACATTTTCGTCTCCATCGTTCTCTTTGTCCTGGCCCGGTAAAGTATATCAAAAAACATTTTCCTGGGTTATTTAATTGGTTGAAATTCACAGCTTCAGTTCCAATCCGAGTGCCAAAAATTACTGAAGCAAACTGCGCAAAAAATGTTAATTTGAAGACAACAAAAAAAATCTAACTGACTTTAAGCAAAGTTTACTGCGCCCGCCCTCTTTTTCCCCCTTTTTTCTCCTAATAAAGTTGTGAAAGATTTTTGCTGAACCCGAAGTGGTATAGAACAGAGTAATCCAAGTGAGGTGATGAATGGGAGAACCCACATCCGTGTAATGAGGACCCAACTTACTTAGAAAATCAGTTTGACCTCAAGAATTGCTTGTGGTTCACCATTGGCAGCCTCTTCCAGCAAGGTTGCGATATTAACGGTTTCATTCTTTCAGCCAGGCAAGGCATTATACAACGGTTGGGCTGAAGTACAAACACGTTGAAGAAAGAAAGAGTGAGAAACGAGACTTCCTTTGTACAAAAGGCAGAAGTATTATATATATCTTTTTGACTCAATTATTGGCTCATTCATCAATGATACTCCTTATATTCTCATCAGGAAATGAGACCTGCCATAGATGGTGAGTCATCAGAATGGAAATTGTCAGTATCAATAATTGAAATGAATTATATACTCATGTTTTAAAACTGAGGAACTGAGGACTGGATTTAGAAATGTACCTGGCATTTTTTTAAGAATAAAAAAGAATTACCTTTAATGATCATTGCAATTAGAATGGAAACAAGAACTTCAATTGGGTTTCTGAATCCAGCCAATAATACTACATCAACTCAAATCACAGTAGAGAAGCTTCCATGGCATTGTTGACAGGTTTTGTGCAAATACTCTTAAAATGTCCAGCATTGGGTGAGCATTGTGCTACACTTTTTGAAAATCAGTCCAACTGTGAAATACAGTAGCATGATAATTCATAACTGTGCTACATCCCTGTTCATATGAAATTTTCCTATAAAAACTGAAGAGGATATATTTTCAGTATACTGTATAGAGCTTGCATGACAATTTAGGTAAAGGCAAATCTTTTTAATGAGAAATACTTCTATGTAGGGAAGTAATTGGGGGTGGGGAGGAGTCATGATGGTACAGGTGGTACCTTGCAATTTGACCTCCTGCAATTCAACCATCCTGCAGTTTGATGGTCAAACTTGTGGAGAGGTTGATTTGCAATTTGAACCTTACCCTGAAATTTGACCGGCTTTGGCAACTTTTTGTTGTTGCATTTTTATACTGATTTATACTGTATTTCTGTTTTTCACAAAGTGCCTTGCAATTTAACTATTTTGGCATTGGGTTAGGGTCAAACTGCAAGGTACCACCTGTGCTATACAAAATTTTGCCTCTGAATTTCTCTATAGTTACACAAGTCATTTGATATTGAGGGATCAACTGTATTCTCCACTATGGCAGGAAAACTTTGAGAAGAAAGGTCAAAAACAGTGTATTATGATCTGATGGAACCTTAATGGATGAACCAACAAAGCTTAAACTTCCATTTCCTGAACCTGATTCTATTTCTCACTATTTTATCAGTCTTTGTTTCTTCCTGCTGGATTCTTCTGCTGGTCTCTTGCCTCGTTTGGGCTGGAAAGGTGTGGTCCCTTGTTCTTTTTCTTGTTGTTTCTAAGCAAGGAAATTATGTTTCATTTCATTGANGTTTTCAGAAAATACTTTATTTTGATTGAGTTTTCCTGTCTCAGGTAGCTGATATGGCCATTGCTGATCTCACCATCAGTTATGAAAGGGAAAGTGTTGTGGACTTCACTACACCTTGGATGAACCTGGGTAAGTTAGTCATTCAACATTCATTGTCACAGTTTCAATAGTTATATATAGGCAGTAGATCCATATATTCTGAATATCAGTTTCTGCTCTTTAAAATCCATTCCCCTGAAGTTGTTGAACCAAACTTTCTTTATTACAAAAGTCACCCTGGCAGTTTTCTGTTCTTGATGAGGTTCCCATTTTGCAGATTTTTTAATCAGCATTTTTGAAATTGACATGACATGAATTCCAATGGCTGCCTTTAGCAGGTCTTTCCTAGGCATTTCTGCCATTTTAATCAAAAGCAACCTTCATATAGGTGCCACATTCTCATGCCATGTTGATTTCAAGCATTCTCAAATGGAATTGGGGTACATAAAATAATCTGAAGGATTCTGGAAGTATACTTTTTTTGAGTTGGGTGAAAAAAGCTGCTATACAGGATGAATTGTATTTCAAAAAAATCCAAGAGAGATGCATTCATTTCAACAGGGCTGGATTTTTTGCCTGGCCAAAGAATATTTCTCCTGAATCATACTTGTTCTTTGGTCAATTATATGCCGTTTCCATTTTTATCCTGAGATTTTTTGTTAGGACCCACACCATATAAATATATTTTATCATAATCGATGCAATTCTGCCAACGCTCCGGTTTATTTTTTATTTTTTTAATTTATTGATATGAGAACCTCTGTTGTTACTGATTTATTTTTCCTGTCACGTTTGAAGCTTTTGTTTCAATATTTTATTTCTTGCAGGGATCAGTATTTTGTACAGGAAGCCCACGAAACAACCCCCGAATCTCTTCAGCTTTTTGTCTCCACTCTCACCCGACGTGTGGATTTACATGGCCTCAGCCTACATTTTCGTCTCCATCGTTCTCTTTGTCCTGGCCCGGTAAAGTATATCAAAAAACATTTTCGTGGGTTATTTAATTGGTTGAAATTCACAGCTTCAGTTCCAATCCGAGTGCCGAAAATTACTGAAGCAAACTGCGCGAAAAATGTGAATTTGAAGACAACAAAAAAAGGATTGACTGAAATTCGTTTCAAATGACGCGGGCGGGAGAAAAAGGGGGAAAAAAGAGGATTATTTCAACACTTTCTAAAAACGACTTGGGCTTCACCATATCTTGTCTCATTAGGTTCACTCCACTAGAATGGGAGAACCCACATCCGTGTAATGAGGACCCAACTTACTTAGAAAATCAGTTTGACCTCAAGAATTGCTTGTGGTTCACCATTGGCAGCCTCTTCCAGCAAGGTTGCGATATTTTGCCAAAGTAAGAAAGTCGGTCCGTTCCGTAATATGTTGCCAACCCGACTTCATGTTTGTGCAACTTCTTTCTTTCTCACTCTTTGCTCTGAAGGAAACATGTTTTCCGTCTTCATAATATATATATACTTTTTGACTCAATTATTGGCTCATTCATCAATGATACTCCTTATATTCTCATCAGGAAATGAGACCTGCCATAGATGGTGAGTCATCAGAATGGAAATTGTCAGTATCAATAATGGAAATGAATTATACTCATGTTTTAAAACTGAGGAACTGAGGACTGAATTTAGAAATGTACCTGGCATTTTTGTTTTTGAAAAAATTACCTACAGTATAAGGATTATTGCAATTAAAATAAAAACAAGAACTTAAATTGTGTTTCTGAATTCAGCCAATAATTCTACATCAATACTCAAATCACAGAAGAGAAGCTTCCATGGCATTGTTGAGAGGTTTTGTACAAATACTCAGAAAAATGTCCAGCATTGGGTGAGCATGGGAAGCTTTTTGTGCTACACTTTTTCAAAATCAGTCCAACTGTACAGTACAGAAGCATGAGAATTCATTTTTGTACTACATCCCTGTTCATGGGGAATTTAGCTATGAAATCTTAAGAGGATATATTTTCAGAACTGTATAGACTATAGAGCTTGCATGACAATTTTTGGTAAAGGCAAATATTTTTAATCAGAAATACCTCTATATATAGGGAAGTAATTGGGGGTGGGGAGGAGTTATGATGGTACAGGTGGTACCTTGCAATTTGACCTCCTGCAATTCAACCATCCTGCAGTTTGATGGTCAAACTTGTGGAGAGGTTGATTTGCAATTTGACCCTTACCCTGAAATTTGACCGGCTTTGGCAACTTTTTGTTGTTCCAATTTTATACTGATTTATACTGTATTTCTGTTTTTCACAAAGTGCCTTGCAATTTAACTATTTTGGCAATGGGTTAGGGTCAAACTGCAAGGTACCACCTGTACTATACAAAATTTTGCCTCTGAATTTCTCAATTGTTACACAAGTCATTTGATATTGAGGGATCAACTGTATTCTCCACTATGGCAGGACAACTTTGAGAAGAAAGATCAAAAACAGTGTATTATGATCTGATGGAACCTTAATGGATGAACCAACAAAGTTTAAACTTCCATTTCCTGAACCTGATTCTATTTCTCACTATTTGATCAGTCTTTGTTTCTTCCTGCTGGATTCTTCTGCTGGTCTCTTGCCTCGTTTGGGCTGGAAAGGTGTGGTCCCTTGTTCTTTTTCTTGTTGTTTCTAAGCAAGGAAATTATGTTTCATTTCATTGATTTTCTTTATTTACACCTGAAGCTTCCATGGAGTATGCCTTGAAAAACTGAGAGGGTGCTGTGCTAATTTTTTGTTTTTACAAAACATCCATCTTTCAATTTTGACGAAGATCCCTGATGATTTGGTTGGGCCAAGAAAATTCTGAAACATTGCATGATTTTCATAACAATTTATTACATTTTATGGGAAGCAAGGCAACTTTCATGTGATCCACATTTTTAAACTAGCCTTCTTTATAAAATTAGATGCATTCATAATTTGCAGTGGAAAATCGTTATAAGAAATCTGGTTGAAATGAATTATTCTTCTAGTTCCAATCCTTGGTGTATTTGAGTCTCAAAAAGAAATAAATATTCACTTCTAAAAGGTTTTTTTCAAGTTGCCCTGCATGACTTAATTTTTAGAGATTTCACCAGCGGTTGATGAGGATGCATAAATAAAAAGAATCTTTGAGAAGAACATTTAAGAAATATGAAAGAGGGGGAAAATTGCGGGTTTTCTTCATGAAGCGCAAAACTAATTATTTTTCCTCCTCCAGCTCTGTTTGGATGACTAATTTCAATAGTATAGGAGAGGTTGTCTCTTCAAGTTTGCTGTTTTCTCTCCCTGCAGATTTACCCCTTATGAGTGGGTGAATCCCTATCCATGCATTGAGGACCCTGATGAATTGGAAAACGATTTAACATTTTCCAACTCCCTTTGGCACAATTGGGGCTCATTGATGCAACAGGGCTCTGACATTGCCCCAAAGTAAGAGTCTTTCCTGCTGTGGTGGGCAAGGTTCATTCATTATTTAAAATTTACACTGATTTTAAAGTTGCTATTTGAGGGATTTGCCTCAATAATAATTCATTTATGGAGGGGTCTTTCATTTTATTTCCTTTTTCCTAACCATTTGCTCCTTTGCTTTCCTAACATTTTCCTAAGCTTTCAGTATCCTTTACTATAGCTCTCCCATTTTTCACTTTCGCCTGCTTTTGTCTTCACTCATGCTGACTTTGAAATCTATGCAAACTCCATCTTTCCCTTGAATATTTCATCTATGACGTGTTCCTCTTTATTTCATCTCTCCACCTTGTTTCAACTCATTTCAAAATTATTCTCATCTCTCTCAAAGTTCCTTTTTCCTTTCTCTCTTCTTTTTTTTTTTGGAACTCTGAAAGGTAAATTTTCAGATTCAAGCTGCAGCTGGAAGAAAAGCGAATGCAGAAGCAAAGGTGCTGTAAATTGAGAACACATCCTGAAAAATCCCATCAGATTTCATAAGCAAGCCCAGTTACTTGAATATATATACAGTATATGTACTCCCAAACGTCTCAACTGCATGGGTTTGTGTGTTGCATGGCGTGTTTTTGTTGTGAATTTCTAAAAAGTGTACATAACTTTCAATTTTCTGGCCATTTTCTTTCACCCACCCTTTCCTTTGTGATCCTTGGCACTCAAGAGCCTGGAATAATTATTGGTTTGAAGCAGTGCTTAAAAGTGTGTTTTTGGGTCCTGGGAACTTAGGGCAGTCTCCACAAGAATGGTGGCAGGGATGTGGTGGTTCTTCACACTGATCATGATATCCTCATACACTGCAAACTTGGCTGCGTTTTTGACTGTTGAACAATTGGAGTCACCTATTGAGAGTGCAGCAGACCTGGCCAATCAAGACAAGATCAAATATGGATGCTTGGCAGGAGGATCCACCTTTTCCTTCTTCAGGGTGAGGCTTTGACTGTGCTGGACACAGAAAAACAAGTTTCTGAATTAAGCACCCACACAACACAAAGGGGAAAATTATATCTGTAACTGGAAATACAGTATCTCATCAAATAGTTTGTTTGTCCCAAAATATGTTCAGAATATTCTTTTTCCTATGCATGTTGCAGCTATATACTTACTCACTAATCGATGTTAACCCATGTCTGGTCACTGCAGGTCATTTACCTGTTGTCTTACACTGACATTTCACAGAGCAGAGAATAGTTCTCCCTTAAACCAAAGCTTTTCAAGATTGCCAAAAGTGAAGGCTCTTTCTTTAATTTTATTTATATTTGCTCCATTTTTGTCCAGTGCATCCCAAGCCAAATACTCAAATTTTTTAGGTGAAGTATAAAGTACTGTAGATTATTGGTCTCTTCCATTTTGCTTTATTCTCTTCTCAATATACAACTTTGTGTATAACCCTGAAATAACATATCCTGCTCCTTACAGAGAGTTTTGGGCCACTAAAATAAAAGGGGAGGGTTTGGGTCCTTTCATTAATTCAGAATATTTTTCCAAGTTCAATGGAATCATTGCAGCATTAAGATGCAAGAGAACATTATGTAAAAGACTGGTTTCTCTCATCAACAATGTTTCTGTGGCTACTTTATATTAAGTAGTGTATTTTTACAAGTGCATGACAGCTTTGGTAGTTTTGGCAGATAGAATCTGGAAAGGGTTCAAGAAAGTTTAAACACTTTTGTTAAAAATTTGCACACTGACAACATATAGCTTTTGACCATCCCAGTTCCTTTTAGTTTTGGTGTGTGGTCAGCACCATCTGCATATGCCAAAATCCCAGAAGGAGAGTCCAAACACTCTTTCGTGGCTCATTGATGGTCTAGCTTTTGCTGAATTTGGTAATCAGGGAACACATGTACTTTTAGTGTGCACATTTATATTTTAAAAGACAAGCCCAGTTCACTCATGCACCCTGGCCATTTTCTCTTATCTGTTTAGCTTGAGGAAGTTTGCACAAAATAGAAGCTCTAGAACTGAGGATGAGACATCCAAGGCAGAAAAGCACTTTATTTCCTTGAGTCAACAGTCAATTATTGTCAACTTAGGATGACAAGTTGCACACACCAAGTTTGAAGAGACAACAAAAAAGCACTTATTCATTGTATTTAAAATCAGATAATGTATGAGTCATGTTCGATGCTGGTGTTGCAGGATGCCAAATTCAGCACATACCAGAAAATGTACAGGTTTATGCATGCCCATCCGGAGCAAATGGTGACGAAAAACAGCCTCGGGGTGGAGAGGGTGGAAGAATCCCATGGAAATTACGCCTTTCTCATGGAATCCACGTCCATTGAATATGTGGTGGAAAGAAGGTGCAAATTGGCGCAAGTTGGAGGCCTATTGGATACAAAAGGCTACGGCATTGCGTTGGCTCCAAGTAAGTAAACTAATTTTTCTGAAGTCCCTCTGAATGGTTGGTTGTCATGAGATTTGACTGTATTGTATAAAAGTATACATCATCCAATATAGCAACCACAGTGGGAAATAAGTCCTTGCTGAGTAATTCAATTCTGAAACATGTTACAGTAATTGAACTCTCACTTCAATCTAAAGTTCCAAACAAGATTTTCAGCATTTTCATTTGACCAAATATTCTAATCACTTGAAAAATAGAAATGGTTAACCAAATGCTTCAACAACCAAAAAACTGATGGGATGATATCTTGTTATGACTTACTATGGCTGTAATATAATCAATACCAGGACACATATGATAAAAGCATGTTTTGAGCACCAATGCAACATGCTTGTGAATTACAGCTTGAAAATGTGGTGGAGCCTTGTTTGATGCTGTGTGTTCTTGAACAGATTCCCCACACAGAGGCTTGATCAGTGGGGCAATCCTTGAGCTGAGAGAGGATGGTGTTCTGTACCAGTTGAAGACCAAATGGTGGAAGCAGAAGAGAGGAGGTGGCAAGTGCAAGGTGAACACTCACTTCATCCCTTCATGAAAAATACTGCTGCAGAATTTATACTTTGCAGTCTTATTGTTATGACTACCACATGAAAAATACTTCTGAGTTCACTCAACAGTTAATGCTTCATTGCACTTATTGTGCAACTCTAATTAGGATCCTGTTGATACCTGGAATACCTTTATTTCATTGAGCATTGCAATGGAGTATCTCAACACTGATTTGGATTGGTTGCTGCACACATTTAATGGCCTTGTAGAACCAAGGGCATGAATACAAATGCCTTGCAGAGCAAAGCAAGCTTCTCTCTCAGACTTAGTTGTGAAACCTTTTCTGAATTAAATGGCTCTGCCCCTGGAAAAATCATATATTGTTGAAGACGGAAGTTACCCTGGATGAAAATCTACTCACAGTATTTTTATGTATTCCTCTGCAGCAGGGATGCAGCAAACAATTCAAAACTTTGATAACCATAATATTAAAATGTTTTTGTCACAACAAATTAAGATAACATGTATTTTGATGGGGGTTCTCTTCTCATTACAGGAAGCTGGATCTGGCACAGGTGGACAAGCAGCACCTCTAGGACTTCCAAATGTTGGTGGGGTTTTTGTTGTGCTCTTGGGTGGGATGGGTGTGGCCTGTCTCATTGCAGCTGTGGAATTCATGTGGGAGTCCAAGAGTGTTTCAGAGGAAGAAGGGGTGAGTATTTAACAAAAATGAACACACTAATAATCTCATTGTTGTTACTTTTCTGTATTTTTCCACTAGACAAATATTTGGGATGAAGTCAGAAAGGAGCTAAAATTTGCTATGAAATGCAGTGGTTCCTCAAAACCAGTCAAAAGGAAAGATGACACCAGTGGTGGTGGAGAAGAGGAGGATGGCATGGACCAAGGAATACCTGAACTGCCTGATTACTGAGCTTCTTGGATCAACTGAATTGTTGCAAATGGTCCAATTTGCACAATTTCAGTTGCTCTGAAAATTGACAGGCAAAAATGGTAACCATCTCCAGAAAAAATGGCCTCTTTTGTATCATGTAGGAGAGGATACAAATGTGGGGAGCATGCAAATCTTGAGTGAACTTCATCGTGTTTGTGTCATGCTTTGAGCAAACTGCCTTTTCCTCACATTGTAAATACAGCTGTGGTTCCTATCGTTTTTTTTTCTAAGGAGCAGAAACCAGGGAGAGAAAGAATCTCAGTGAAAACTGCCAGTGCTGAGAGGGTTGAAATGCACATTGTTTTGGTTTTTGACATTCACAATTCATTTTCCTTCCAACAACTCTTGATTTTGTTCTTGGCACAGCAAGTGACTCAACTGTAATCATGGTGAATAATGTTCTTCTTTTAATTGATTTTTTTTTTCAAATCAGTATAGCAAATTGGTTTGGTGTGCATGTTTCAGGTTCCATCATACTTATACCGGAATTTTTTTACCCAGACAAACCCAGACACCAGAAATCAAAAAGATCAGGAATACACCACCTGTTTTGAGGCAAAAGTTGATGCTGTGAGATCAAAGCCCCCAGTTATGAAGAATCCATTTCTTTTCAATAAGGATGTCAGTAATTTTGAAAAATATTTGAGGTTCATCTTCCCAGTTTCATTTTCAATGTTCAACATTTTCTACTCCATGAAAGCAAATGAGTGTGAGCCTTGAAATATTGAAGATGCTCAACAGCTTTTTGGCAGCATGATTTATGAAGAATGATTACAGTTAGCTCAGCAAAGATAGTTGGTTTCTGCTTCAGGTTTCAAAAGTGTTATCATGGTTTAAACATCCCACCACATTCTTCAATGTACAGTGAGACCCCAAGATGCATATGTAATTGGTGCATCAAGAGTTTCCCTTAGTTTAAATGTCCCTAAGTTGAGTCTCATTTTCCCTTAGACTTACATTATATAATTTTCAATTGGTGTTTTATGAACAAAATAATCACCATAATTCCATGAAAATGAAAATTGTCTCCAAATTTAAACTGATTCCAATCAATATATTTCAACACAATATGGGCATTTGGGGAATATTGAATACTGATACCTCTGTACAGTATATAGAAATGTTGGTATTCTCTGTAGAAATAATATTCAAGTGAAAAAGAGAGAACAAAGTCCCTCTCTGCTGGAGGTAATGTTTTTTAATTAGCTAAATGAATGGTAAACTAGTGAAAGAAATGCCCAAGAACTTTTCTTACATCAATTTTAAGGTTGAAAATATACGTTTCTTGTAATTTGGCCTAAAATGTATTTGCAATTTTATAACCAAATGTCCCTATGTGAAGTCATTGTCCTCAAGTTGGGCCGTTTTTATTAATTTTTTATGATAAAATAAGTGTCCCAATGTTGAATTGTCCTCAGGTCAAGAGGTGTCCGCATGTGGGGGTACTGGAGGCTCAATGTACAGTATATAAAAAATTTTAATACTGTACAAAAACAGCCTGATGGCTCACAATGGGGGTCTCTGAGTACTTATACGCTTTTTGAATTCTGGACATGTATAATCCAAAAAGCTTGAACAGGGTCACTGAGGGTTTGAACAAATGCATTCCTCAGAGGCTGCTGCTAGTTGCCGGTCGCACGAATATTGGTTCATTTTTTCAACCTACCCAACCAAGGTCGATGCAACCAGGATTTAAAAACGCAACCCCCACTTGGAGGGCTGGAGATTAGGGAAGGCTTACTACTGATGCAGCTGAAGGTTGGAAGGACTGGCATTTGGCAACTGGTGGATGTGCAACCATGGATTGCATGGTCAGCAGCTTACCCAATACCCCCTTCCTAGGCCCAGAAGTGAGATGCCCACATTATTTCCTTGGTCTATGTTCTATTTCGGTATTTGTTTTTGTGTCAACTCAAAAGTCATGACCAGCTTACCAGGAGGAGCAATGGCACAGATGGGGATGTGTTCCTGGGGGACTCTCATAAGTTCATTCAGGCCTTTAAAACATGCAGAGGTCATGTCCTTTTGGAATGTGAGAAGGACGCACATATGTTGACATGGAAATGATGTGTTCTATGATTTGCCAAGAAAGGATGGATCCAGGAGGTGTGCATCAAACAGTCCTACCATTCCATTTAAAATCAATGCAAACTAGAATGGTGGGACTGTTCTGGATATAGACTGGTTCTACTTGCTCCATGTATGGAGTGGTAGCATTTGTTCCATATATGGAACAGTAATATCTGATCCACATATACAATGAAAAAAATGTTTCCATGTGCATGCAGGCATGGTAATATTTGTATCATATACAGAATGGTAATATTTTTCATTTAAAAATAGGTAATATTTGTTCCTTATATGGAAGAAAAATATCTCAAGACACATATTTGTTCAATACAAGACAATTTCTTACACCCTAGTCTCTGCCAATTCAAACCAGGACATCATGTGTTGGAGCCTGCAGAATTAACTGTTGAGCTATACACACAACAAGATGTGATGTATTACAGCAATAGTCAGACTCCACTGATTCTAATACAGTATTTCATCATACTCAGTAGTCAGTACTCAGTTTAATGTATGTGCCATAGATGGATGCATGGAATGACAACTTGAAAATGATTTTTGCTACCAACCCAGGAAAACTGTTCCACTTCCACAAATGTGTCAAACACATGACCTTTTAAGGTGTATATGGATGTAACCAAAGTAACGCTGCGGATTCTTTCACTTTTGGATTGAAAACGGCAAAATAAAATCAGTTACAAAATTGGGAACACACATTCATTGTAGTGTCTGCTTGAATATATGTCCTTGGTCTCAACTGTCTGATTGCCCACATTTTCTTTTTTTCATCATGCTTTTGTGAAACCAATTCACTGGAGTGTTAAGGAGCCAGAACTTGGGCCCAGGGATGTCATGTCCCAGGACCTGGATTCTGGTCCAGTTTTCCTTTGTGCATTCATTCCCTGGATGCATAACTTCTTTGATGCACATTTTGTCTGCCAATCACAGGCAAGGAAAAATGTCCAATGCTTCAGTCAGGTCAGCTGACAGAAGCATTGTGCTAAATTGCATAAAAACCCAGCACTCTTCCACTCCCAATAATTAGTCCTTAAAATTAGCTTCAAGACTAAACTTCCCCTATACATTACAACCGCCATTCTTCTGATTGAATTGTTGCATTGCTTTATTGCACCCTAAATTGGTGTGCACAAATTTATTGTCTTTATTGAATGTGTGTTGCATTACTGCATTTATTGTGATGCATTATTTTTGGTATTGTGTTTGATTGTGATTTATTGTGGACTGTGATTAAACCAGAAAAAACTAGGGATATGTAATTAAGGTACCCCCTTAATTACATATTCCCGGCTGCAAACTGGCTGATTGCCCTGCCTTATTATTTCCCACCTTTTCTTCCACTGTGCTATGGTTCAATTCTTTATGTTGGGTTGACTAATTCCTCAACATGGAGTGACTGGCAGATGCCTGGCACCAATCAAGCAATGCAGACATGAGCTGTGGCCAGAAATCTACCCCCCATCATTTGGTTTTTGGTGTCACCACTTATTGACATCAGGTGCAATTTATGTAGGCTGTTCTCAGAGAGAAAAAATGACAAAAAACTGTGTATGATCAGGGAAAAGTTCCACCACATGTGCTTCTGCTGGTTGGAAAGTTCGAACGCGAAAATCGACAGAATGGAATAAACTAGGGAACATTGTTCGCAGTGTTACCAATAAGAGAGGAAATATTTTCTGCGAAGTATTTTTTACAAAAATTAATCGTCATTTCATATTGTTGGGGTAATCATAACCGGTTAGTTAAGTAGTTACTCATCCCGATAATTACGGGAAACGAGCATCAATGGGGACTTTCGGAAAATTGTTCTAGCACAAATCATTTTTTTTCACATATAACGAAGACATATTTGAACTAGGAATATCTTTTTTTTTTAAATAAGTCCAAAGTCATGTTGGTTGCATATTATTTAAATAATGATCGTGAATAATAATACCCACTCATCACCACAAATTGTTGCACACTTGCAAATTGTAAAATCTTGATTCATTTTTTTTAATGCAAAAAACTATTTCCTCTCTTAATTGTTGGTAGCACTTCGAGTAATGTTTCCTGTCGCCAATTATTTTCGCATATTTCTAACTTCCCATCAAAGTGAAACACAAGTGGTAACATATTTTTGTTCTCGATACTTTTCCCCCTAGAATTATGGGAAATAATACCAAGCACCCTTTTGATATTACAGTATACTTGGAACATTTTCAGAAGTGATAATTTCTTCGTAGTGTGCAGTGAACATGGAAAACCAATAATCTGCGTGCCAAAATGAATTTACTGTTGGAGAAAAGTACCAATGATATGTTCATGTAGTATATGCCTTTTTCCAGTTATTTCTTCCTTGCAGAAAAATTCAAAAATAATCTCTGAAAAATGTCTCAAGGACAAAGCACAAGATGATTTTGCTATTGTTGTTCCATCATTTTGAAAAAGTCGAACCCAAATTTTCTCAACATGATTCCATAAATTAAAAAACTGCTGGTTAACAATAAGAAGAAGAAAATTTATTGAAAATGTGAATAGAAAAATTTTTTCACAGAAGTTAGTAGAAGAGACACTTGAGCTTTTCTTGTCATTGAATCCTGGAGAAAATTCCATAATTCCATGTGTTTTTACTCATTTTTTAAATATGTTTTCCTGCTTGATATAAGATGGAAATTTGTGCATCACCACAGCACCTTCTCTTCTTATGTCCAGCATTTTATATTGACAGGAAAAGGCTTAAGAAAGATTTACAAGTATTGGAATTCAATGGAGAGACCCTCTCTGAAATTTGAAAGGATAAAGACACACTGTTGGCCTTATTTGATTTCTCATCAAAGATTCTCTCTAATTTGTTCATTCAACTAAACCTCATATACAGAAACAAACTGAAGACATTGTGCTTTAAATAAATTTTTACATATCTTTTGTTTTCAATGTCAGGGAATAAATGGGTGTATGCATACATGTCAGATGTCCAGTTGTATTTTGTGGCTTGTATTTTCTTTTATTGTTTTTATCCATTTGTGTTCTGTTTCCTGCTCTGAAGTGATTAAATGTCATTGAGTAGATTTGGGTTGGGTGGGAATGGGGTTTGATGGTGGAAATCTTGTTTGAACCTTGTGAATGCTGAAAAGCAGCAAATAAAGTGTTCTGGTCATTTGTTCATTCATAAGATAGAAATTGAAGGCCTCCTGAAATGGGAACAAGTAATTGTATTGTACCAACAACAAAATTTAATCTGCTTCT